TGTGAAGCAGGAAGTTAGAGTTTAAACATCAGGGGAAGTAATGGACTAAAGTGGGAAAAGTTAGATGAAGCTGTTAAGATAATGAGATAGAACAGTAAATACGATTAAATATTGATAAATAACATATTATAAAGTGGTAGGAGTTAATAATGCGATCGTAGAATGCATGTTAAGATAGAAAGATCGGTGTTTTGATGCAATAAAAGCTTTGCAACATCAGAAAAGAGTTACTGGTTCACAAATTCCGTTAGACGCAGAGGGAAACATTTCCACGAACGCTTTTTAAGATTCCCCGGCTGCATTCTCTGTGTTTGCCCCAAAAAGCGCAGACTGACCGTCATATAAGTGCAATAAAATGGTAACTCGGACGGTCCATTCATCTAAAATCCTTTCGCCGTGTCGCGGAGATCTACCTGTACGTTTCTATACGCGGCTCCTGTGCTCAATCTGAAAATTTAAGCGATGGTCTCGCCTCCGTCCCGTTTTATTGCCATTTTTACCTTTTTTCGGGGCCAGTTTTCCGTTTCGATTCTCCTCGGTACCAGTCCGCCTCTATTCTCCAATCGAATCGGACGTTTGTTGCGTAACATTCGATATTTTCGTTGAAAAAACGAAGTGTTTGTGTTCCTTTCCATGTGAAATATTTGTTTAGTGATTACGAACGTTCAGTGTACGCTTGTGATTACGCTAACACAGAAAGGATAAAACTTAAAGTGAAAAGCAAAGTGCTGAGAGATTGCAGAACGTAGTGACTAAGATTTATATTGTGAAAATGGACTAGATAACATAGATAACAAGAGAACTAGGAAAAGGGAATAATTCTTCACCGGCAATATTCCATGATAAAAAGATCATAATTTAAATTTTCCAATTTCTTTAAACGTTCAAGGCTTAGATCCTTCGATTTCTGCCTTCCTTTCGCTCACACAATTTTAATTTCAACAACTATCCGTCATTCTTTAAAATTACTAATTCCTTCGTTCAACACGTCAAGTTATTCTTTTTATCAAAGGAAAGTAGCAACAATTATTCGCTATTTGGCGTTACGATCTTTGCATTACACTATTATCCACTTAGTTAAGTTATTAAACATTTTGATTAGACATCGATTATCTCGCACGCCACGATTCTTTTCAAGTGATTCAGAAGCGTCAGTCATCGGCGACTGACGTGGCATTTAACGTGTTAATCGCTGCTAGAGTTTAAACAATTTCTCGTTCATTTGAAACGAAAATGTTTCAAGACGCAAGAGAACGGGATGAAACATCGCCATGTTGGATCAGGGTGAAATTATCGAATTTCTCAGAGAACGTTGCATCCCCCACGCCCCTGGTCCAACATGGCCGCTACTGTATCCATGGAAACACCCTCTGACTTTGATACGACCCCGCGGAACGCTTGCATCGGGAATAGAGGGGCGGTACAGAACGAGGGGTGAAATTCTCGCGAGGGTTGAACTTAACGCGTAACGTTCCTCGGCCATGCGTCGGCCATTGTAAGATCCACGCATCTCTTTTATCACTCTTCCATTAATTCCCTTCGATAAATCATTCCCCGAAAGAATTCAGCCCGAGGATACGCGCAAAGAAAGATGTGTGCCAATAAATATTTACTCTTGCAAGCAAACATACTTCGTAGATAATAAATTCGGCACCGTTATTCCATTGTTTTCAACTGGATGGATTTAAAACGTCTAGTAAAAGTCTGCGAAACACATTTGAAATGTCAACATTTCACGTGTTTTATTGACTTGATAAAGAATCGTGCTAAAACACTCGTTTTAGGAAGAATCAGTGCAACAATCGCTTCGAGGACGCTTGAAACGAAAGAGCAGACTGTGAATTTAAATTGATGAGAGTCACAATGAAAGTCGCTTCTGTCTACAGTCGAACTGTCGAATTCAAGATAGTACCATTCCTCTCTGTTCAGAACGAGCATGAAGTATATTTTTAATGGCTGCAAGCTATCCATTGGTGCAGTCCTCTGCTTCGCGGTCAATTGTCTTTCCCGAGGACAGCCATCTTTTTTTTACACGCGCTGAGCGTTCTTTTTCTCTCCGCGTCGTTCGTACAGTTCGTAGCGAACGCTCAACCGCCGAACAGCGCTCCGTTTTCCAGTGTTCGTAAAGCACCGTACTGCATATTTTAATAAATATACACTTAGCTTTTCAAACTGTGTTGTTTACTTTGACAAATAAATATTCAACACTCTCGATAAAACCCTCCCGAGAACCATGCGACAATGATGTTGCACTCGGCCAGTCGAGTGTACCACAAAATTCAGCGTTGTTCCGTAAAATGCCGATACTCCCGACCGCAACGAGTCCGTTTAATTACTTCGGCTACTACTCCATCCCCCAAAGAGACCAGAAAAACGCACATAGTAATTTCCGGAATGGATACGATAAAAGCCGACGTCTTTCTCCCCCTGAGCTTGAACAAATGGATCGCGGCGGGCGTCGTTTCCTCCCCAAGGCGGTTCGCGCAGGGACGACGAAGGAACGACTTTCCACGTAGCCAGGAATTTGCAATAGAACCGGGTTTATTGGCCGATAAAGGCAAAGCAGCGAACGCTGCATTTTTCGAACGACAAAACCAGCGGTGCCGGTTAGATAAAAATCTCCGAGTGGCACCGTAAATGCGCGGGGAAACGCGGCGGCGAGTGATCAATAAATTCTGGACTCTCGAGGAGGCCTGTAAACACCGCCTTATCATTCGAATACCAAGCTCTGTATCGACAATTGTCACGTGGCTTCGAGTGTCGCAACTGTGATCGTTCGCGAATGAATTCTTCATTCTTGATAGACCGTGTTTATGCGTTTGTAGTAGCTGTCGTGAGTACTTGAGAGGTCTAAGTTATACTTTGAATTAAATTGTTAGAATATTATAGTTATGTTGTTAGAATATTATTAGAATATCATTAGAGTATTGTAGTTATATTATTAGAATATTATTAGAATATTATTAGAGTATTGTAGTTATATTATTAGAATATCATTAGAGTATTGTAGTTATATTATTAGAATATTATTAGAATATTATTAGAGTATTGTAGTTATATTATTAGAATATTATTAGAATATTATAGTTATATTATTGGAATATTATTGGAATATTATTAGAATATTATAGTTATATTATTAGAACATCATTAGAATATTATTAGAATATTATATGTACATTCCAGTCGAGGATTTTCTCCATAAATTGCTGCTTTCCACCGTAGATTTGAACGTAATGAAATCTGTAGCCGCTTTACGATCTTATTTTTGAACGCCCAACTGCTCCACCAGCTTTCTGCATTAATATAGCTAAATCAACATGCAATAGTAATAATGCAACTCAATCGAATTTAACCCTTTGCACTCGGAAGTTTCTCATTAGAAATATTTGAACATCTTCTGATGAGACAAAGACGATATTTTCCAACTAACTCGAAGAGAAATCACACATACATTGAGGAACAAAGCTATTTTACTTAAATATTTCTCAAATCCATACGTTATACAAGTTATAATATTAAATATCAAACTTCATAGTTTTGTATGAAATCAGATAAGCGAGTGTCACCTCTCGAATGCAAGGGTTAACCCTTTGCACTCGGATGTTTCTTACTAGAAATTTTTACCATTTCTTTACGAGGCGAAGACGATGTCCTTCGAGACTAATTCGAAGAGAAATCACCAGTACATCGAGGAACAAAGCTGTTTTATTCCAATGTTTCACGTATCGAGGCATTGTACAAAGTTTAACATTAAACATCACATTCTATAGTTTTACTGTGTCAAATCAAGTGGTGACCGAGAGTCACCTCTCGAGTGCAAAGGGTTAATATTATATTTCCTCCATTTTCTGTATTCCACTCTATAAACTCGTGCGTTCAACGCATTAATCGCCCACTATCCAAAATTGCTCCACCACGAATCGATGATCTCACTTAACCCATTCATATCTGAGTCCATTCATCGCTCTTACACGCCAACCACAAAGCAGCAAAGGGTGACACGACGATTCGGATGATTTATTAAAGTGCATATTTTATTCAAAAGCAAAAAGAATCCACGTAGTCCAAGAAGCATCCCCCTCGTCGTGGAAGGATATTGGTTGTCGAGCAGTATAAAAGTTCTTCGGCTAGGTGGCTGACGGGGAGAAATAACGACGAATGGGCCAATCGCGTCTGTTTCAATGGGGGTTTGCTACCAGGACCTCACCGAGAATCGTAAAACACCCGGTGGACCAATGGCAGCCATTGTAGCTGTACAACGAACCCTCTCGCTTCGTCGGGTCCGCTCGTTCTCGCGCATAATGGCGAATATCCCGCAGCTGATATACTCGAACGACTTTCATCAAACGTTAGTTGTCTGAAATTAATCTCGTAAAAAATGACGGTCAAGAAGGGAGCCCGGGAACTGGCCCTCCATCGGAGAATGAACGTTTTAACGCCTCGCGCAGGACAGCGGAGCTTGGAATGGAAATGAGGATGATTCGAATCGAAGATGGCAGGATGTTCGTTAACAGAAACGAGGAGCTACGACGTTATATTTAGGAATTCGATGACTCGTTTTAGTTTCGTTTTTCTAATAATTTGTTCAGAAGATTTATTGGATTGAAGGATATGTAATTGAGATAATCTAAATTGAGCTAAATTAATCCAATAGATATTGTTATTAGAAATGAGGAACTACGATATTACATTTAGGAACTCAATTCGTTTCTGTTTCATTTTCCTGATATTTTGTTCAGAAGATTTATTGGATTGAAGGAAATATAATTGAGATAATCTAAATTGAGCTAAATTAATCCAATAGATATTGTTATTAGAAATGAGGAACTACGACATTGTACTTAGGAATTTGATCATTTCAGTTTCATTTTTCTAATATTTTGTTAAAATTCATTGGATTGAAGGGAAACTTCGATTGTCATCGAAATAAGCGCTGGCAGGGAACGTTTTGATGTTATTACTATTTTATGTTTTATATGTTTATCAATTTTTTGTAGGAAGTTGCATTGTGCTCGGAGATACTTGAGCTGCTTGGCAGAACGCGGGAGCAAATAGAAATGCAATTGATAGAATTGAAGGCAGCCAAAGCTAGAATGGAAGTGGACTGGATTGACAAGGCGGACGCCTATCGAACGGATTCTCATTGCACGCAGCTGAGAAATGACTCTTCTCTTATTATGTGGAAACCTGGAGCCACGAGATTCCCGGCAGAGTAAATATCAACTCATTAACACATTGCGTACCGGCTAATTTCCAGATAACCAACTCGTGCGTAGAGAAATTCAGTAGAAAGAAAATTTAGTAGGAAAACTCAGATATCATATTGTTATGTAATATATTTTAAATAGATAATCAATTCGAATGAAATTTTATATTTTTCTCAATGCTGTGGTATTTAGCGAAGTTGTATAGCTAAGTGTCTTTATATAAAAACGAGATTTCTCGTTACCAGTACGCAATGTGTTAACATTGGACTGGAATCAGTGGATCAAAATGACTCGTTCTTGGTTTCTTCTTTTACAATTACTGTATTTATCATTATTTTTGCAGTTAACACCTTGCCCTATGATTTCTCTCCCAATTGCGATTAACAGAGATGCTTTATTGTTCATAATTCAGTAGAGAAACAATAGAATTGAATTATAAAACAATTGAAACGTTGGCACGTGTATCGTTATAAGTTGTATGAGGAAGCAGGAAAACAGTTTATTTGATTTCTTGGTGGTTGTAGTGTTAACTTATTGTGTTATATGAAAATCGTGACAAAGTTAGCAATTGTAAGTGACATTTTTCTATTGTAATGCGTTAATTTTTGGAATAAAGGCAAATAGAGTGTTAATATAGAATTCTTCCTTCTTTCTTGGAAAACTGGCGGTCATGATACTAGATGAAATCATAGGATAAGAGGTTAATTAGAACCAAAGGAGGAGTAATTTATTAATAACAGGCGACGAGACTCAATTCGCGATTGAATCGGAAATATTTTAATCCTGTCTGATAATATAATATTTATAATTCTTGTTGATAAGACAACTGTGCATTGGTTATCAATCATTCCAGCGTATTGAGGTTTTCATTTTATCTAAATTTAAGTAATGAAGATCTATTTATTTCTCATAAACTTTGAAAATTTCTGTATACATTGTATCCACGTCTGACTCTTACATCTGAATCTCCTTGCTCGATGATCACACGCAAAATTCCAAGTGTCTAGTATCTCGACCAAATAGTTTCTACTCTAACCTCATTTTTAGAAATTATATTACAAAAAGTGCAAAGTTACAGAGTATCATAATAATCACCTATAAACAATGATATTTTAGTTTTAAAACGCAAGAATTAACGTGCGGTTTTGATTTGAATGTGGCAGCATTCGATATTCGATAAATCGATATATCGACACAACCTTACCTAAATTCACGATCGTCAATGTATCGATTGACGTTGTGTACTGGAGGAATGGTGTCTTAAGTTTTCAGTCGTTGCCTTTGTTGCCGGGAAAATGTTAATTTCACGGGGCATTCATATTCTTAAAACTGCACGTTTCTTAAATACTAAGAAACATGTAGCTACCAATTTGAATCAGTTCCGAAATTCGTAAGTTAATATATTTCTATTACATAACCTTCTCAAGTAGAGGTTATGTTTAAACACTTTCATTTTTACTTTTATAAGTATTTTTATGAGAAATATGACTTGTTAATATTGTTTTAGATACGTCTATCGAGGAAACTTCGAACCACCCGCACTGAATGTCGTAGTGATGACAGAAGTCGTAGGTGGAATGTTTTATTGGTGGGTTTTATGGAATTTATGGCACGATTGGAGATCTGTTGTTTTTGTAAGTAACATTTTTAATTCATTAGCCGCACAGATCAATTATATTCTATTTCTTCAAACAGATCGTGAAGAAATTTGACATTTTTATAATTACATTTTTAATATTTTCTATTTGTAGGGTCATATATCGATTCCAGACGTAAACGAGTTTAAGGATGAGTCATTGGGACTTCCACCGGAAGAATGAGTGATGGGTAGATTATTTTTATAGTAGTATCTTACAATCTTAATTTAAATATGAAGTTATCGGAACATTCTGGAAAATTTACAGTATTCTGTCATATACAGATATAACGGATCATGATTAACTTCTTTGTACAATATTGTTTCCCAAAATAAATTGTTTCAAAAATTTTATTAAGAAAATATTACATCACTCAGAAAAATGTATTTTTATTTAAGAAGAAAGTAACATAGATTTGTACATTTCAATGTTTATGTATTCCTTTCAATTACGAGTTGGCACTTTAATAGTAATAGTTTTGAGTTCAAGATATTCCTTTATTCCTTCAGCACCCCTAAGAACATAAAAACAAATTATTATAGTATCTTATCACTGTAATTTCATCTCTGAATAGTTTCAAACTTACAGTTCACGACCAATGCCTGACTCCTTAAATCCACCAAATGGAGTTTGGTGTGAAATAGCATCGTAACAGTTTACCCTATAGAATTATTATATTGTTTACAAACTCTCTGCAGTATATTCACTATCAACAAAACATTTATATTTGTAATTCTTACCATACACTGCCAGATTCTACTGCCTGTGCAAACACCATTGCTTTATCAATATCTTTTGTGAGCACACCAGCAGCCAAACCATACTTTGTATTGTTCGCACGTTCAATAACTTCATCCATAGTTTCAAATTTCAAAATGGACTGTACAGGTCCAAATATTTCTTCCTTAGCAATTTTCATATCATCGGTCACATTAGAAAAGACTGTTGGCTATAATAAATATTGGAAAGTTTAACTTTAATATCAACCAAGAAATTGAAATATACTATAACAAGAACTAAAATATGAAATTATACCTTAATAAAGTAGCCAACTTTGCCCTGTGGTTCTCCTCCAGTTTCCAATACAGCACCTTCTTTCTTTCCAGATTCAATGTATCCTTGAATCTTATTGAACTGCAGTTCATCAATCTGCGGCCCCTGTTGCATTTCTGAGTCGAAAGGATCGCCGACTTTTCTTTGAAGTGCTAACTGTTTAGCGTGCTTGACGAATTCATCATAGATCTTGGCTTGTACAAAAGTACGCGAACCAGCGCAACAATTTTGGCCATGGTTAGCAAACACTGCCTCATGAGCTATTCGCGCGGCTTCCTTAACTGTAAAATATTATCAATTATTAACTGTTCCCGAATTCAAAATATTTAGTATATAATTTGCTTAAAAGAAACGTTACCAACATACCATCAAAATCATCGAAAACGACTAAAGGACTCTTGCCACCCAATTCGAGACTAACGCGCTTAAGGTTCGTCCTACCAGCGGTTTGCATTATGAGATGTCCAATCTTAAAGACAAATTTCTTAATAATTTCGATTTAATAGAAAAGGAATTTAAAAAATCAGTAATTAACTACCTCAGTAGAACCAGTGAATGCAATTTTACGAACATCTGGATGTTCAACAATCGCTGCACCAGCAGTTGGTCCATATCCTGTAATGACATTTATAACACCTGGAGGAAATCCAGCTTCCTTGGCAAGTGCTGCAGCGTATAATGCAGAAAGTGGAGTTTGTTCAGCTGGCTTTAATATAAGAGTACATCCAGTTGCCAATGCCGGAGCCCACTTCCATACTAGCATAGCAAAAGGATAATTCCAAGGAATAATTTGACCTACTACACCAACTGGTTCCTTTCGTGTGAGTGTGACAAAGTTTCCATCTAGAAAAAGACAATAATGCAAACGATACTTTTGCAACATATCATGAAACACAGTTTAATGTGAATAAATATACCTGTTGGAATAGTATCACCAGTAATTTTGTCACACCACCCAGCATGATAGCGTAGTGTGCCTGCACAGAAGTACATTTCTCCTAGAGCATTCGAATATGTTTTTCCACAGTCCACAGTTTCAAGAGTTGCTATATATTCTGCATCACGTTCAATAAGATCTGCAAGCTGTTACACAATATTAGCAACTCAAAGTACCAAAATGGTTTTGTATCACAACCGTTTTAACCACGTTTTAAAATTATATATTTAAAAGCACACCTTGTTTATCAGCTGCGCACGGTCAGATGCATTCATGCTTCTCCATTTTGATCCCCTTTTGAATGCCTGTTTTGCAGCAGCGACTGCTTTATCCACATCAGCCTGCATAAAATAAATACATGAAAGAAATGTGTTCAAAGCAACGAAAACTACAATGCCGAGACAAATGCAAAAATATGATATAAACCTTGTCACCCTCAGAGACTTCAGCAATAACACTACCAGTAGCTGGGTTTACAGTAGCAAACTTTTTACCACTAACTGCATCCACGAACTCATTGTTGATGAACAACTGTGAACAAATTTGGCATCAGAAAAAAATTATTAAACCTAATTTAATTTTAAGCTATTCTAGTATTTCACGCCTTGCTACATGTGGAACAAGCACTTGAAAAAAATTGAAATCTAATCTTAGAACATAGTTATTTACCTGAGTATATTTCACATCAACCGTCTTACGAGCCATCTTTGCGTGCACTCTCTTTGCAGGCCGGTTCACGAATGATTCAGAATTCGCCTGTGGACACAAAGCGTTAGTCTTAAATTGCAGAATGTGTATCATCTAATCTGTTTCGAAAGCAATTAATTGTGCGTTCTGGAGGGGAGACGCGGTGCGATAGGACCCTAACAACATCTTATCTCGCGAAGCAAAAGCGCAATTCATTTTACGTTAATTTAGTTTTATAAAATAAAATCAAAGGAATTTAACAGGGCCTTTCTCTCTTTCATCTCGTTTCTATAAATATTCATATCTCGACGAAACTGATTACGTCGCATTTCTATCTGGAATTGGGTTACAATCAATTTAGAAACGTAGCAAATCAATAATTGATTGATGTTATCGATAGCGTTACCACTAAATTGCGGATTATAATGAGAATTCAATGATTTACAAGCGCAATAGGAAAAACAAGATCATTGTAACGAGCGGTTTCCACTTTATATTTAAAATACAGGCATAACAACTTCGGTATACGATTAATTCTGCATTTCTAATTCGAAATGTATGTAAATAAATTCTCATGGCGTCGACAAATGACAATCTAAAGGTTTTAAGTTATTATAATGTAATCATTATAAGTATCATAAGTTGCATGAATATTCATTCGCGTCGTCTACTTATAATTTGCATAAGCATATTTCATGAATTAAGCGTACAATCAATTAAGATTATTCACATCGAGATGATTCACAAGTTTACACATTCTTCGTTTATTTTCAATGAAACTCACGAAGCAACCTACTGAAAGAGAAAAGAAACGCTTAGTAATTTCTTCCCTGGTCTCATTTCAATGGAACATCTCAACGATCCGATTCGTTGGCCGAGAAAGCAACCGTTTCTTATTTGAAAAAATGAAGTATTCAGTTGCTGGGTTTTGTTTAATCGATAAACCGCGTATCGGTGTCCAACGGACGCTCTATAGGAATCGTTCGCCGTCACGATGGAAAAATTCAGTGTTGTTTAATTAAGGACGAATTCGTATCGAGAGATTAAGAGGGGAAAAAAAAAGACGAAGTTGCATCGATAATTGCCCGAGGAAGATTACGTGTTCGCATGAACGCAAAACTTGTTGATGTCTTGTCGAACTTAATCTCCGTCGATCCGATGAAACATTCGATATGGATGTTAATCAAGATTCGACCGAGGACACGTTGCAACTCCCGCACAACGGGACCGGAGATGCGGTAAATCGATCTATTTCTAAAATAATTATTACACGTACAAAAACGATAATTGTATGAACGTCGGGCGAAAGAAAAAGGTATGCACATGTTATGGATTAAATTATAGAATAATCAATAATTTTCACTCAATTATATTCTGATAGAAGATATTTTTAACGTACCGTTACACTGGGAATATTGTCAATATAAATTTATTTATATAGATATCAATCAATCAATAGATATTTATCAATGAATCAATAGATATTTATATGCACGTATGGACACTTCCAGAACACTGTCGATACCTCCAAGAGAACATTCATTTGTTTTGATGTTTGCTCGCTTTCATTTCACATAATCGTTGTGATGTAATTATAGAATTCTATCAGTGTTTGTCTGAAAATATCCCTGTTTGTTTCCCTTCGCGATGCTCACACTCCCCCAAAGATGTTACGCCACGCGAGATAATCGACACCAATCGAAGAACAAACTGTTCGGAAGATAGATCTGTAAATTAACAACGCAACTACTTACAGAACTGTTTATTATTCAAACGATGCGTCGCGTTGTTACAATGACGAAATGTTACGTTACACTCGAATGTTCCTGTCCCTTGCCTCGATGATCATTATTTTCATTCGACACACCTTTGTGCCTCCATCGTAGCTGAAAATAATTCCTCGGTATCAACAGACGCGTGTACCGCGAAAATAGCAGCACGGAACTTGCGCTACGACCTAATATCTTGACCTTGCTCTCCAATCGTAGTCATCTGGTTGTTCAATTATTCATATATTAAAGGCAATCTGCACAACACCTCTCGTGGAAAGACACGAATGAACGATCGCAGCCGTGCCTTTAGACTCGCGGCCATTTTGAGCGAAACGACTGTTACCTGGCATTTTCATTTGAATATTGTTCATCAGTAAGGAATTCAATAAACTTTGTTTCATCATGATTGGTATTTCTTTAACGAACACGTTATAGTTTGCATACCTAATCGATATTCAATAAATGCGTTACCATTATCATTGGTACGCGCGTACAGGTAAAGGGATGCGAGTAACGAAAGTAAATAATAATAAATAATAACCTACTTCTGCCAGTGACAAGTTAACAATTTAAACAATTTTTGCACAGCCCTCTTGTCCCGTGACGGACAAGGAACTTTCCAATGGCGGAGCGCAAGACAAACCGCCGCCCTATCTTCCCCAGCCAGAAGACGCGTTTCCGGTCGCGCCGGAAGAAACAATGGGCGCTCTTGGTCCGTGGGCCACCGGTCGGGTAACTTTCACGCCTAAAGACGGTTTAACAGGCGTGAGACCCGTCGTCGACCGGTATTCTGTGACGAAATTCGGCGCGCCGCAATGGAGGGCCCACAATCTCAAATTCTTCCAACAGTCGGACGAAAAAATTCGGGACGCCCAGTACGGAAAGAAACTTTCACGTATTTCGAGTACCAGAAATCTCGGAGATTAACACTAGAACCGCTAGACGGATCGAAAAGATTCATCTTGAATGCTTACTTTGACAATTTTTGAAAAGACACATGGATTCCTGAGTTTAAGTTAATTGATTACTTTATTTTATTCTCCACTTTGAGTGCAAAATGAAGTAAATCAACAAGATGACAATATACTGATATATGACTTCAAAGTAACATGGGCCTATAGGGGGTTAATATAACTGGTGCAATATTGGAGCCTGCAGAGTTCAAAGGGTTAAAATATTTCCAGTGAAACTTCCGAGTTTGGGTTGAAGAAGTCATCTAAAGAGTGATTTATTTAGTGCAAGGCAGTTGTTAGTGTAAAATATCAAGAAATTAATTATGGTTCTTTGAGATTCAAGTGTCCGAGTCTCGATGGACGATGGTACATCTCATTACCATAGACATAACGAAATGAAACATCATGAAGGAATACAAATATTTCAGGCTTGCCATAAGCAACGCGAGACGATGCGTCGATCAGTCGTACAGACAGGCGGACAAAACGCAATTGGAGACGACGGATTACCTGAAGAAACGGTCGGCCGAGGTGCACCGTTGGAAAGTGGAGCTGGAGCACGTGATACGCGAGATCACCGAGGAAATCGAATTATTGGAGGCGGAACGTAGACGAGTGAAACAATCGTTATCGGTCCTCACGATACCGGAATCGATCGCCGGTGAATTCTTGCAACTACGATCGCGCCGGTTAGAATCCGATCTGATTCGCGACGAAGTCGAAGAGGAATTGACAAAGGTGACTGTTTATAAAGAGAAATGCATGGAAGTACCTTGAACGTGACATTACATATGTATTACCGTGGGGCGTCTGGTAACAGAGATAAACATTGGCAAAACAAGTTACTACAAATTCTGAATAACCGTTTAACAAGTTCACTGTCAACGCCACATGGTTGTAACGATCGTAATCCTATATGTTACATAATGAGAACGAAATGAATTCTATGAATATTGTTATTTGAAATGGGGAACTACAACATTATATTTAGAAACTCGATGACTCATTCCTGTTTTATTTTTCTAATATCTTGTTCAGAAGATTTACTGGATTGAAGGAAATATAATTGAGATAATCTAAATTGAGCTAAATTAATCCAATAGATATTGTTGTTAGAAATGAGAAACTACGACATTGTATTTAGGAACTCGACTCGTTACAGTTTCGTTTTTCTAATATTTTGTTTAGATTTATTGGATTGAAGGAAAACTTCGATTGTCATCGAAATAAGCGCTGGCTGGGAACGTTTTGATGGGGCAAGGGAGGATGCTATTACTATTTTATGTTTTATATGTTTATCAATTTTTTGTAGGAAGTTGCATTGTGCTCGGAGATACGAGAGCTGCTTGGCAGAACGCGGGAGCAAATAGAAATGCAATTGATAGAATTGAAGGCAGCCAAAGCTAGAATGGAAGTGGACTGGACTGACAAGGCGGACGCCTATCGAACGGATTCTCATTGCACGCAGCTGAAAAATGACTCTTCTCTTATTATGTGGAAACCTGGAGCCACGAGATTCCCGGCAGAGTAAATATCAGCTCATTAACACATTGCGTACCGGCTAATTTTCAGAAAACCAAATCGTGCGTAGAAAAATTCAGTAGAAAGAAAATTCAGTAGAAAAACTCAGATATCATATTGTTATGTAATATATTTTAAATAGATAATCAATTCGAATGAAATTTTATATTTTTCTCAATGCTGTGGTAATTAGCGTAGCCCCTAAGTATCTTTATATAAAAACGAGATTTCTGGTTACCGGTGCGCAATGTGTTAACACTATAACTACCGTACAAGTCAAAATGACTGGTTTCGGTCTCCTTACATCGCGGTCATTAATATCTTAAAAGCATTGAATATTCGAAATCATTTTGAAAATAGTTTCGCTTAAATACTATAGTCAATGTATGAAGAAACTGAAAATAATCTTTTGTCCGAATTTTTCGAGGGATTACGTATCAGTTATATTAAACACTAGATAGTTCTAGCATTAAACATAACTGATTTCGCTTGAAATTCGTGATAAAGCTCCCAACGCTAGAACTGCCAAGCGTTTAAGCTATAAGCATGTGCTCATTCGGGTTTTCATTGATTCGTTCATTCCCAAACCTTCAATTTTCAGAATCTAAATAAACTGTCTATAATAATGTCTCAAGAAAGAATTTGTAAAAACTTTTGTAGTACCTACAAAGTAATAAATCAAGAACAAGTAGTTAACTCATTTGGTGATTCTAGTGTTAAAGCGTAGACACTTCGTATCCCTGCTCAAATTTTAACGAGTCTCTTAATAATTAGTCATGAATATTTCATTGGCCAACGGTTGTGGTAATTGTTAGGCAAGAAATAACTATAACCACTATCTAAATTTACATTCGCTCGACCGTAGGTTCCTTGACGAAAAGGAAAGGAGATAGCTACAAGCACAGAGGTTCAGTGAATCATATAATGTATTCCATGTTCCAATGTTTCTCGAGAACGTGAACAAACACCCGTGAATAATTGTAAATCAGTGTATAAAACGTGTCCGCGTCGAAGCAAGATCCCGACGTTCTTTCCTCGACAGACAATCGACGCCAGCCAGCTGCGAACATTACACGCGCGAGAGCTTGACCGACGCGGAGGCAGCCAGGCAGAAATCGGTGAACCTGCGGTCCACCCTGGACGCCATTTTCGCGAACTCCGTGAGGGATCTACGCGATCAGGCGACGCGCGTTGATCTAGCCCTCGGCGGGAAGATCAAGCTCACGGAAGAGATGTGTCAACAGTTGGAGAAAGAACTGCTCCGCGTGAGTTTTATCGTCACGACGGCTCATTATGATTACGTTGCACCTTCGAAATCGTCAGAGCAAATAGAAACAATGTTCTTTGAATGGGACGCCCCACTTTAGTCTATCCACACTGTTATCTCCCGAAGCTTCTTCTTCGCAGACGTGTAAACCGAATTCTTTTTTAAGCGAGGAGGATACAGTGGCCTTCAATTATCTTGGAAGACTGACGCTCCTGAATTACTCGAAAACAATCGTAACGTGCGAGATAAACGATGTCGATTCAAAATATTTAACCCCTTGTACTACGATTTATTTAACGCATTGACCGGTCACGAAATTCGTGTTTGCATTAGTTATTTCAATTTTTGAAACACAGGGCAATATAGAACATTGCGAACGCAAAATATTCAAGATTATATTTCAATTCATTGTATGTAAATAAAGTATATTGAAGTTCATTTGGATTGCCGGTCAACAACGTGTTAACTATTACTAGTAGTTGATACGACTACTTCATCGTTAATGATTTATTAGGAAAAGGAGCAATTTTGATGCTTACTCTGCGTTTACTCGAATGGTCAACGATCGTTAATAGTAATATTTAATTTATATTTTAAAATAATAAATGACACTTAGATTTGTCAGATTCGGTTTCAAATTTTCGTCACGAGTCGACATTGCAGGTCAAAGGGTTAACGTAACTAAGTTGATAGTGTAACGCAAAGATCGTAACGCCAGATAGTGAATAATTGTTGCTATTCTCCGGTAGTTCTAGTGTTAATTAATTCATTCTTAGAGAAACGTCTATCTAGCCAGCCTAGCCAACTTGTCCAATGCTCTTTGAACAACGAGCAGTTCGAGAAATAATAGTGTGGACAGATTAACATTGAGCGGCCCGTACATCTGGAATGATTACAGTGTCTGCACGAGCTGGCGAACACCGAAAAAGCGATCGAAGATCTTCGTCAGTCCGCGAGGGGCCTAGATTACGCGATGAAGGTTGCACAAACACGATTAGCGGAGAGATTACGGCGGCGTAATATTGAAAACTGTCGCGACACGTCTCAATTCGCGTGAGTATTACGTTAACACTTTGACTGGCGAGTGAACACTTATCAAAACAGTTTCCCTAATAAACAAGAAACCAAAGAGTCCTTGGTTCTTCGTAATAATTGCTCTGTCTTCCTTATATCTCATCCAATAAAACTTCGTTACGTCACCAAGAAAATTCATGTTCAAGATTATGTAAAAATAGAGTCGCCAAAATTTGGGTAACACGGCAATCAAAGTGTTAATCAGCCGTTATCTAATCATTCGGAAAACACGCCAGTGAATATCAAAGCTCACGAGGGCTTAAACAGCGATTTGAGGTCATTGAATGCTGTTTACGAGCACTTAATCCAACTGTATCGTATTTCAGACTCGTGGAAGAAGTGAAGATGCTAAACGAACGCACGTCGGCCATGTTGGCCGAGCTGAGGCGGGCTGAGCAGACTCAGGCGGGCCTGGTGAAGGCTAGGAGCGACCTTGAACGAGAAATCATCGTAAAACGGAAAACATTGTACTTGGACAAGCAGCGTGGCCAATTGTTGCGCTCGTTTTATCCGTCGGCCACGACACTGTCCGGCTTTTAATGGAATATTATTATCTCGGTATGATGATTAACACGTCTCTGAGATCCTCCTTTGGTCCACGGTGCATAGGGTCTTGCTAAATTGCCCGGCCGCGGTGCTCGCTGGAATGTACCGGTTTTTTAACCCCTTGCCTTACAATACATGAATTTAACAAAGATTGTTCAATTTGTTTGAAGGCAAATTGCATATTATTCCTCTGTTGTCAATGATTATGTCTTAGAGCACACGTTCATATAGAATAAAACTGGAATTTTCTCTTCAATAAATCATTAATAACAAAGTAGTTACATTGATCACAGTTCAGAAAGAAATAGGGCAAGGGATCAAGTCACTTCGCAACTTTTAGGAAGCAAATATTCTTGGCCGAATATCGGAACGACGATATTGACTTTGTTTAACACGTTGAACGCCGCATGATTTCATAGAGTACAATGCATAGAATGGAGAAAATATAATAATAAATCACTTGATTGAATCGTTATTGATCTAGCTGAATGTTACCGCATCAGGTAGCATTATAATATAGAAATGTTTTCAATCACTGTAATTTGGTTGGGGGTCACCGGTGACCCCCATGGCATTCCACGTGTTAATTACATCTGTTTAACACTGAAACTACCAGACGGATCAAAACGAGTGATTCCTGAGATCTTGTGATTATTAAAAAGATAACGGATATTTCTCTAAGAAATTATTTAATAAACTGAATCATGAATCAATTAAAGTTTCAATGAATGCCCTCTTGGATTGTTTTTGTAGAGGGATTTTAAAAAACTATTGGTAGTTTTAATGTTAAGACGAACTGTGTGTATCTTTCAAGGATACAATTTAAGAAAATAAGAATCTTTGGATTCGTATTCTCACAAACGCGATTAATGAAAATGGAGTAATTAAGTACAATGGCCACACAATTTAGGAACACCCTGTATATTGGATACTGTATCTCTATTAAGTGTAAAACCTTGTTCCGCGATTAGATCTTGGAAAACGGCGCGGGACGTATTGGAAAAGTTATACAAACGTGAAGTTCAATGGAGATTAAGACTTGATGGATACATTACGTTGATTCTATAAATGTATTTCGGAAGTACACCCACTTAACCGCGCCAAAAATATAGTAGTTCCTATTATTTGTGTATAATCGCTTTATAACATTTTCGTTTTGATGTTTTCATACAAAAATGAAAAATATATAGCCTGGATACCTCGGGGTTGTCTTCGTATGACATATCGTACATTCGTATATGATTAAATTAAGTATTACACGATTGCGTTTAAGAGACAGCGTTAAGTTATCGGTCTCGACGCGGAATTAAGTTCAATAGAAGATAAATATATAATCATAGTTCGTCGTGGTTCGACTGCTGTAAGTGGTTCGACACGAACTCGTGGAGAACGTCTAAGCCGCGAGGACCATCGTATTCGGAGACTTTCTGTCCATCGCGGTATAAATAGAGCGAAGGAAAACCCTCTACTTCTTGTTCGTTGCACAAGTTTTTGTTCGCGTAGAGCGTGCAGTCCACTTTAGCTATGTTCACATCTTCGTTACCGAGAAACTTCTTTCCAAGATCCTCCCAAACCGGTGCTAGACGTTTACAATGGCCACACCAAGGAGCGAAAAACATAACGAATGAGATTCCTGTTTCAATACCATGCTTAAAACTTTCGTCAGTCAAGCTGAATACAGTTTGAATGTGTGTATTGTCTGAATTATCAGTCTGAACGTTCTCTTGATCATTACTCTTCTCAAGCATTCTCGATACATAAGCCTTTAATTCTTCATGGCTACGTTGCCCTGAATATTTATCCACCTGCAAGTTTATTTTTATCCAATCATTAAAGATGTCCCTTATATAAATAGGAGCTGCAAAGATCAATACTGTGATCAAGCTTCACCTTTTTACCATCTTCGATCCAAAGTAATGTTGGATAACCCTTTATATCGAACTGCCCACAGACACTACGGTGTTGAGTGCAGTCTATTTTAGATATGCTAACAATCGCATTGTTGCGTAAACTGTTTGCTAATTCCTCCCATGTTGGTGCTAACTTCTGACAATGACCGCACCACGGTGCATAGAACTTTACAAAATGATAACCAGAGGACACGTGTTTATAAAAAGTGTCCTCTGTTAATTCTACCAAATCATTTACTGCTTCTGGAGGGAACGGTACGATGTCTGCAACCTAATTTAAAATGTTTAAAGTTAAAACTCATATAATGCTTGTTTTAATTAGACTCTAAAATGTTTAAGCATTCATGAAATTGACAATTACCCCAAGAGCAGTTCCTAATTGGTCATTTAAAAAGTAAATCAGAGATGGCAAGTCTCTTGTACCTCTAAACTTAGTCCCCTTGGTTTCTCCAGCTTTAAAAAATTTTAGCCTGCCAAGTAAATAAAATTAAAGTATATTTTCTAAATAGATATACTCAATTATCTTATATCTTACAGATATATACAACAAACCAATGTTACACATACGTAGGATAACCAGTGACATCGTGTTCAGTACATAAACTGCTATCAGTAGTACAATCTACTTTAGCAATTTTTATATTATCGTCTTCTTCGTTTGATATCTCTGCTAGTAGCTCCCAAGTTGGTTCTAGTTTCTTGCAAAATCCACACCTAGTAATAAGTAAACATATTCTTGTTATGTAAGGTCTAAATGTATATAAATTATAATGTGGCTGTCACACAGTGTTTACAATAAAGGTACATCATTTTCTAACTTTTCTTTGTTCTTGTACATCACATCATTAAACATGCAAAATATTTTCTCTTTCTAATGAACTTCTATATAATTGCTTATTTATGAAAAATGAAAGAAACCGTACCAAGGTGCAAAGAACATGACAAAGTGATTCTTTTTCTTAATTTCTGTTGCGAAATTGTCTTTGTTGTATTGCACAGTGTGTACAGTGTCCTCTTCATGTTGACTATTCACTTGACTCAGCAGAAATAAAAATAGGAAGATATGTTTCGTTATCACGATAACACTTGTCGAGTACTCCACCATAATGATGACTTGTGATCACTTTATAAATTACTTAAATACTCGATATAAATTTTATATTGCTACGAATGAGGGAGTAGAATATCTTAAAGTTTCAGATCATTATCACGACTATTTCAATCCTAAAATCACAGTCTCGGAGATATAAATGCTGTTGAAATGTATTTCGAAGTATTCCAAACTTTTTAACGTTCCAATTAAAATAGAAAATAGTTTAGTCCTAAATGATTCTAATTGAACTATTCCTTGCACTTCGCACTGGCCTTTTACCCTCCCACACAAATGGATCGAAACCGCCGTTCCGCCCCCCATATGGTAATGCGCATTGACGGAAACATTTTAATACAAAATTCCCAGTACGTTCCGATACTACAATTCTTTTGAAAAGAAATAAATAATTACATGTTCACATTCATTCATAAAAATATTAAATTTGAAAGTAATTCTTGACAACTGTCAGCTACAAACTTAGTTTAAAATAAGTACAATGTTACGATTATTTATATATACAGGAATTTTTAATCTGAAATTAATTCTTGCCTACTGCTAATTATAAATACAATTTAATTGAAAAATTACAGTTCATTTTACAACTATGTATTTATATCTTTCACGACTATTTCTTATAGGGTATTTACTGATAGAGTTCTAAGATGGTACTGCTCCGTGAGTAACATTCATGGCGCCACCTTTGCTAGTTTTCGATTTTAGTAAATCTTATATCCCTAACCGGAACTGTAAACATCAAAACGAATGCCGGATAAACGTGATTTTTGGTCGGTGTATGAAAATATAAGTGACTTTAAAATATATAATACTGTTTGTCATTCGCGTTAACATGGATCCTAGTTTTCTGGATGTAGCAGCAAATGATTCCATTCAAGTACGTATTTTCTTCTTGAAGTTTCCGCATTAAAACAAATTTAATAATACTGTCTCTTTAGGTTACTTTAAGGTTATACTACCTGTAAATCTAATGATGATTTATGATAAAAATGTAATTATGATGTATCAAATGCAATCAATTAAACTTAACTTTAATTTACTTCAACTCTTTAACTTATCAGTAGATATTTATGTAAATTTTACTGATTTTATTTTAAATATCCATAACCCCAAATCTGTCCTTGCAAGAATGTAAATATTTATGTTACAGCAAAACGATAATTGTAAGATGGAAAATTTAACACAATCTTATTTGGAGTTGAAAAAGAAAATCTGCAAAACCCAGTAAGTTATTAGAAATGTTTTCCTCGTGTTTAAGTAATGATGAACTAAGAAATTTAATCACAATATCTTTGCGCAGCGAAGTGATTAAACAATACAATGATAAACTCAAGGAATGCGAGCGTTTGAAGTCAGATTTGGATGCAGCAACTAAACAAACAAGGAAAGTCACTTGTAATTATAACTCATCATTGGCCAAAGTTATTAAATTGGAACTTGTAAGTAAAAATTATTATACTACATAATATTTTGTTTCCTGGTAGCCTTTAAAACTGCCTTATATTGATATCTTTTTCCAGCAAAATACAGAATATAAAAAAAATATTGAAACACTGACCGCAGAAGTAAATGATCATAAAATAAAAGCAGCTGCTGATCACCAGCATATACAACAATTGGTATGTAAAATAAAAGATGTAGAAAGTCATCACAATGATTTAATTATGCAGCATGATTTAAAGAAGTCTACCCTTGAAAGTAAGTAGATCAATGGATTAATATATTCTGTACATTTTAATTTCTTTAATGCCTGTACAATTTTCTTTACCAGTGAAAGTCAAAGAACTAGATCAAGAATTAAAAAATGTGAAAAAGATGTATGACATGAAAATTAAAAAGATGGAGAGAAAACCTACAACAGAAAACAATAGTATTCATAAAAGTAACAGTAGCATTAATAACGATAGCACTATCAACATTTGTAATAGTAAGTTAAATGAGTGAAGCAAGTTCACTTTAAACAATTCTAAATCCTGAATGTTGTTTAATTTTTTCTTTTGTTACAGAACCGAAAATGATAGATGTTGGAACGGTTACAATCCTCTCTAAGGATGAAATAATACAGAAACCGCAAGTTACAAATAAATGTATAATAACAGACGAATTTTATAGTATAAAAGACGATATGTATCCTATATTTTGTGCTAAATGCGAAGTTCGTATAGAACCTACACCTTTAGAAAAGATATGTAAAATCATGACAGAGTCATGTCCAAAGTTGGTAGAGCAGATTCCATCTCCTCCTAAGAAAATGTTGCCTCCGCCAATATTACCTTCATCATCCAGTAAGTATTAATTTCAAACTTAAACTTATAGAATAATGTACAACCCATAAACTCCATGTGATTTCAGATACAATTACCGAACGCAGTGAAAGTGAAAGTTTGATAGCCTTGCCGGAAACGCCACCGCCATGTATACCGAATCAGATCAATCATTCTGAATTTATTTCTCCCAATCATCTACCGCCGCAAGCATCAGTGGAGTCAACACGTTCAAATTACAGTAACTTTCCTCCGGCGCCTAGTTTTATAAATCCAACTTATATCGGATCGACACCGGTTAATTCTGTCTCGGTAGTGAAAAGTAGAACTAGTCAGAGTACTCATTGCGATGAGATATCAATGGTCGCACCTTCACTGTCAATTATATCCTCATTGCAGAAGAGGGTTAATGCGTTAGAGAAAAAGCTAAAAAAGAAACTGAACGAAAGGAAAGTAGAACAAAACAGTAACTGTTGTCAGCATTCTAACCCGCATTATATGTATGATATTAACAATTCGATACAAGTGAATTTTATGCAACTTTGGCAAAGAATAACCGATTTATACGACAGCAAAACGAAGCAACAACACATTGTAAATAAACGTAGGAATAGAACTTGGAATAAATGTAAATTATCTCGACTGAAATCTACCAAAAGACTGCAGGATGCGCGTGCCGGAAACACATGGAAAGTAGAGACTCTGACTAAAAAGGTTGAGCCGAGTTCTGTTAGAAAGAGGCCTAAGAAACGTAAATACAGACATTCTATGCTTCTAAACAAACCCGAAGTTCCCATCGAAATTTCAGAAGATTTAGAAGAACTGGATAACGATCCGGATTCTAATTCATTCAGTGATTCATTTAATGATACTGCTGATATTGCGGTAGATGCTAGTATAAACTCTCAAAATGAACCATGTCTAGAAACGACTAGTTCAGCATGTAACAATGATTTACAGATGTTAACATGCCCTCAATCTATGGACGTAGATGAACCAGAGACTGTAGATGCAGCGAAAAATTCAGCTGAATGTAATAAATCAGTGAATGGTGAAACCGACTCAGGAATATTATCAGATTCTGTTGAATCTAGTAAACTAGTGCAACTTGAAGCAGATTTAGATGTTTGTTTCGTTCCGAAGGAAAGTAAAAATCTGGAGGATCAGTCTTCCGAGAGTAGTGTACCGTGCTTCACCGAGAATTCGAGTTCAACGATATTTGAAACGGCAGAGAAACCTTCTACGAAGAACTCGAAATCAACGATATTTGAATCCGTAGGAAAATCTTCCACCGCGAACACTAATTCAACGATATTTGAATCCGTAGAAAAATCTTCCACCAAGAACTCGAGTTCAACGATAACTGATTCGGCAGAAAAAATCTCCTCTGAGAACTCGAATTCAAAGATATCTAAATTGGCAAAAAGATCCTCTACCGGGAACTTAAATTCAACGACGTCTGAGTTGGCAGAAAAAACCTCCACCCAAAACTCGAGTTCAAAGATATCTAAATTGGCAAAAAAATCCTCTACCGGGAA